TGTGACTATGGGTGTTATTAATGGGATTGGTAATACGCACATTTTTGGGGAGGATAATTATTTGGAAAGAACAGTGGTGTGTAGACTAAATGTGAAAATAGCTGTTCGCAAACTGTACCCAATCTTCATTAAGGTTCAACGTTGGTCAACATTGCTGCCAATGGTGCGATGGTATTTTTGAACTTGTTGAGTATCCAACAATCCATATATCAAAATATTAAAATCCTCAAAATCGTTATTTCATTATTATCATAACTATTTGGCTTAGGCTTATAGATGAGAATAATTCAGTAAACAGAAACTTGTCCTCACCTTAGAGATCTATAGTATTGACTATATAGTTTATATAGTCAATGCCTATAGCCTCCTCTAATAAAAGGCTGTGGCGTAGATGTTTGGCAACGTCGCACCGGCCGGTATATTGCCGTGCAAAACAGTAATGTCAAACGTATAAACAAACATTGCGCAGACGTCCCGTTATGAATCATACAACAGCTGTTTCAGTAGGTCGGGATTGCGGCGTTGCCACTATTTTCTCACCGTAGCCTTGTATTAGAGGCACGGCCACCTTTAACTCCAGGCCATGGCCTGGTAGAATTGGCAGCGTCGTAAGTAGGGTTGTTGTCAGACGTCCCATAAGATAACATGGCAGACAGGTAACATCAGCTCAAATTCGGACTTTATTGATTTAAATTTAAATTTATAAACATAAATTTATCAAAATTTTGAAAATAAAACATACACAAATCAAAATATTGCTGTACCTTTAAAGCTGAGTCAATGTTTTCATATTCCAGTAACCAAGCTTGTGTAAATACAAAAATACTATTAGCTGCTTCCAAATAAAACAGCTGTTACAACCCTACTAGCGACGTTGCCAGTTGCCACTTCGAAGGCCGCGGCCTGGAGTTAAAAGGCGGCCGTGATTAGAGGAGGCTATACCTATTATCACTTAGTCAGAAACCATTGGGTATTGGCAGGCCTCTGGTTAAAATGTCCTTTCTCTAACAATGCATTTAAATTGCGACCTTGAGTAGTCAAAATTTATTTTTTTTATAATAAAAAAAACTAGTTTGATCACTGGAATGTCTAGAAAGCCCACAGCGTGCTGCTTGTTCGTCCACTTGTCTAAGTAGTATCACTTGTGATTGTCTAAAGAAAATTTTGAGCTGCGTGATTCTCAAAATTTTTGTTCACAGTAGAAATTAACTCTACACGTGAATAATTAGTAGAGGCATGCCATGGATCATGTTTGTGTCGTAGTTTATGTACGAATTTTATGGGATTCATACGTTTAATTTATAAACAATAACCGAACAGTCACAAGGACGACTTGATTTATTACTTACTAGCCGAGTTTTGTTGTTGTTGTCAAAATCAAATAACGATATTATTTTATCAGTAAGAATCTTGTTTTGATCGTAGACAATGGCAATTCACATACTTTTAATTATTATAGTTTTCAATTTTATTATAATTTTTATTTATTTTAAATATATTTGTTTCAACTATCAGTGGTTTCATTTATAAAGATTAACATTCTGACCTCATCGTCCTTATCTGTTGCCCTCATTGTGACATATTGTAGCCAATAACTAATATTGCATTTATTTATAACAAAAAATAAATTATTTAGTTAAACTGTTGATAATTCTTTGCAAATTTATAAAGTGTATGATTTTTCATGTTTGATGAAGTTATAACATAGTGACAAGGGTAGATCAGCTTTGCCAGCTGATGCTTGAAACATATCAGTCTCAATCCGATAACAGCTGAACCGATAATGGCATACAGAAGCTAATTCTTTGAATCAGCATTGTATGGTTAATGTTTCAACGGTTAATTTCATGTCGTCCCAAATGTAGCATGTTGGTTCATGTTGATGTTATGTGTCAATGTGTGTTGAAACGATTCCATTGCATTCTCCTGGAAATTCCCCACAACATTAATATAACATAGTATATTTTAGTACTGCGAGTGTAAATTGCTGGATATGGATCTGTTCATAGCATTCTCGTTTGTGAAGTTTATGTTACTTTTAGGGTTGAGTGCGGATTTGAAATTGATCTACCAACAACCAACGTGTTTAACCAAATGAAAATATAAAATTTGTGTTCTTCCTTTGTGTACATAGGTAAATGTTTATGAAATATACATGTTTTGAAACTATAAATTAATTTATATTGTGAGCTCTATGACCTTTGTTGACAATTAAATTTGAAAAAGGATTAGGCCTACATTTGTTTTACCATTGTCTATAATGTGTAGTAATAATAGGCTAAGTATATGTACGAATACGCGTACTTTTTCATGTACCGGTACTTGAATCAAGTCCCTCTGTTCACAGCTACAGTAATCCCATTCCAACATTCTCTTTGACTGTTAATCCCTTAGATCTAGAGATTAGACCTACTTGATCCTTTAAATCCCGAGGCAAAAAGTGTCAACTTCAGAACAAGATAACGTGTCAGCCACGTTGTAAAGTTGGTTTGTAAAAACAAAAATTGTTGATAACTTGTCAAAAACTTGTCCCTCGAGATATTAAATATTCCAAGAGTACAGCAGCTGCCGGCGTGCTTGCATTATTAACATCGCTCCTGCTTTATTTGCAGTCTTCTTCTGGCGTGTCTTATTGTTACGAACGTTTAAGAACCCAGAATAGGGTAATACCGTAATACCAAGGTAATATTGTTTATAAGAAGCTGAAACATAGGAATAGAAAAGATGAGGGAACTGTACATGTTGTTATTTAGTGCAATATTGTATTAATGTTTAATTTTATAGGTCACTTTATAATAGTATAACAAGAAATGTATTGTTGTTTGTTTGGTTTGTTAGTGTTTGTCATCTTGTAAAACCTGCAATAAATTGTTAATAAGTAATGTAAAAAGTATACCTCGAAGCTAAATGCAGACCACCGCTAATTTGACAAAAGAAGAAAAAAAATAATAAGAATCTAAACACAATAATAACAATCAATAACACAGACGGTGTTTATTTGTGTTTGTTTTGTAATCCGTCACCGTCATCCATCAGTTCATGCTATAAAATTTTTTTTCGGGTGAGCGAGCACCACTAAACCAAAGTTATCATATTATTACAATAATAATAGCAATGGTTTAAACTTACTTAAGTTATTACTGTTCAATTCAGAGTTGGGGTTATCAGAGATTCAGTGGACATAATCTTTTACAGGTTAGGTTACACCCTTAGTCCTTACATTAATTTAGATTAGTTTTAACAATTTGAAAATGGTCTCATAAGATTTTTTAAATATAGAAATCTGAGTAATCCTTGTTTAAATCTAGCTTTGAGGTCTTCGTCTATTCTATTTACAATCTAGGCCTATCCCATTAAGTTAATGGATTAGGGCTAAAGACTCATTTCAAAATAAATGCATGCACAACCTGCTGAGGCTAGGTTGTAAAATCAACAAAGCTAAGATTCATTGAATCAGTTTATGTCACTTAGCCTTTAATAAGTTAAGCAACTCAACAATATCTGTTGCAATGTTTTATTGTTGCCATTGTATTGGCTAGCCTGTGACATTGAAAGAAATTAGTATTCTTGTTACTGTCTCAAATTACTTAAGTTACAGGACATTAAATTGAAGACTTGCTGTAATTAAGTAAAAAAAACCCCTTCTTTAATAAAATCTAAATTAGGCAGCTAAGTTTACATACAAATGACTTGATACGGATCTTAAGGATTTTTTTTTGTCGAGACATCTAACTTAGGCCTAGTTTGCTCAAAGCCTTTTTCTACGATTTACGTTTGATGTTGGTTTTTTGTATAAGCTTAGTCGCACGGTCTTGATAAGTTTTAACTTAATAATAAAACGTTAATAACTTAGACTTCAAGTTTACCTAATAGTTTTTATAAACTTAAGTTAAGTTATGCTGATAAGAGATGCATAACTTAACTTACCGGTACTCACATCAAATTACAGTTTTAATAATCTGTCTAGATAATTAAGTTAATTAAAAGGCTTTCATAAAATAGGCCTATAACCCAACCATAACTTGTGCAGTTTTTTTACTTCCGTAAATTGATGAATGCATCATCGGATAAATTAACACCACTTAATATGTTCACAAATTACCAGGGATTGAAAACTTTGACTAGAAAATGCTAAACATAAAGATAATCAATTGCCAGTACAGTTGCAGCTTAATCTATTGTTTCCAGTGTTGACAAGCTTGTTCTTTTAAATGTAGGCCCCTGACAATTATAGGCTTATACTAAAGCCCCGTGTACACGAGGCTAGTACTAGCAGCTAGTTGATTAGCGCTAGTAAATTCGCTGCGTGTAAACGGTCTACTAGCGTAAAAATTTACTAGCGCGCTAGCATTTTACTCGCTGCTAGTCGTTTTGAACATGTTTGATATTACTAGCGCTAATAAGTAGTGGGGGTGGTCACGTGACCACTAGCGCTAGCGAACTAGCGCGGTACTAGCGGAGCATTTGCACTTCTGCTAGTGCTAATTATTGCCACTCGCCATACGCCAGTGATCACAGTATCATTTTTCTTAATCAGTGGAGTGATTAGTTCCAACCAACAGTTCTTCAAACTTTAAAGCATTCATTCTCAAAAACTTAAAGTAGTCTGGTCTCCCAACGCCAGGACGCACCAAGAAATTCTCGCCTCATAATCCACTTTCGAACCCACACAGATTAAGTTCATGTTAACACAACTCTTGTACACCAATTCTTAAAATTTAAAGGGAACAGAAGACATTTTGTGCTAAACTGAAATGACTATTGCGACCAATGAACACTTCACTTCTACATGACTAGCGCTAATAATAAGCGCTAATAACTAGCCACGTGTAGATGGGAATTTTCGCGCTAGTGTGCCCAGCTAGTGCTAGCTGCGAATACTAGCTGCTAGTAAACTAGCTACGTGTACACGGGGCTTAAATACTTGCTCTAATAAAGCATAGTCTATTGGCATTTTATTTTTGTAATAAAATCTCAAAATATGATAAAACTGTTGACAGAGACCCCACTATGGCTCCTACTCCAGATAGCTCCAATCAAGAACGAGCGAGACTTGGTAGTCCTGTTCTTGCTCACGTTCCGGGACATAACTGCGTTAAAGCAGCCCATCGAGACAGAAGACACCAAGGGAGGTAAGTTTAAAAAAAATACAATTTAAAAATACAAAACAAATGCATAGGCCTAGCTACATTTTCTTTTTTTAGTAAAAAAGTAGTTTTTTTATAACATATGTATTGGGATGTGAAACCTGATTTTCCCCTTAGACGAGTGTGTTGCCTAGGGTAGGAACTGAGCGGTAGCCGGTAGCTAAATAAACACAGAGAATTTCAGGTTTAGAGAAAACATTAATTTAAATAGGCCTAGGTAATTCTAAAAAAGACAACACAAAGCTTAATACTACAGAATCTGTATTTAAATTCTAAAACTGTGGTTAAAGTCTCGTTGTTTATGTTAATGAAAATATCTGCAACAATTTCACAAATAAAGTGAACCTTAGGTGAGTTTGTGGCTCAGTAAGTACCGTAGCGTAACATACCGTACTGCAAAACCATTACAGTGATGTCAAAATGAAAGAGTTTATGTTGTCAGTTTATTGCACTTTACAATTTTTGACATTTCTCATTGAAATTGCTGAGCCGTTAAAGTAATCAGTCATACAATAGGCTAATAATGTGCAGTGTCGGTCCCTTAACACTATCTGTTTAATTTTTTAATTATTTTGCATCAATAAATTAGTGACAAGAAAACAGAATGCATTTCTTAACATATTATTTTATACGTAAGTATCACGTTCTAACATGTCAGATTTCTTTGAACAATTTTAGACAGCTAAATTTTATTTTGTTATTGTGCTCGTAGGACTAATACGGTAACCATAGGCCTACTAGTGTATAATCTTAAATATTCCTATTAAAATATTCCCAACAATGGCAAGCCTATTTATTTGTTCAGTAGCCTACCAGGTAGATATTTGAATCCTCCAGCTAATATTTCTTGAGGTAGAGATAAAATGATTGTTCAACACTGATGTGTGTTGACGTCAAGATTGAGGGATGGAGGTTTCTTAACTCTGTTTTCCTTGACAGATCCATCAAGGGACTCCCTTCAATTGAGTGTGACTCCATCCATTCACACGATTCATATAAAATCAGAGCTTACGCTTTACAATTTCTTACAAAATCTTCTGTTCACCCTATGTACTTTTCAGATTTTTTTATAGAATGTTCAAACGGTTTATTGATTATGATTATTTTTTATGTTTTGTTGTTTTCCTATCTGGTGATGTTGTGCTGTTGCTGTTTTGGTCAACTCTTAGTTTGTGAAATTAAAATATCTCTAACAAAACAGAATTTGTTTATTTTTCAAAAAAACACTTCGAACAAATAAGATACATGGATGGAATTGGTTCTGTAAGTTAACTGTAAATGTTTAAAATATCGATAAAAAATTTATAAACTCGGTTGAACTCTAATGAAAGGTATTATGAAAAGAGGTGTTAGCAGTATTGCCCTATTTTAGGAAGAAAATAAGCAAAGCATAATTTTAATATCAACAATCATTAAATTCCTGCTTTGCCTATGCATAGGACTAGACATCCATCTATTTCATGCATTTCTTATCAACACCTTAGAAACAAAAAAAGGATCTATCTTTCACTTTTCCCGTAACCAAATGACTAGGCTAATAAGTATTATACCAAAAAGACAAAATTTAAAGAAAAATATTGCTATAGACCTCTAAGATCAAAGCATGAATACAAAACTATTTGATCACTTTCTATTTAACAATTTCAACTTTACCTTTGTGATCCGGAATAATATTATTTTTTCCGGCTGTCATGTTCGTACTAACTGGTTGAAACAGTGGACATGTTGCCAGGACTGAGCAAGTTCGCCAAGCTGGCTCGCTCGGTGACTCGCAGCCGGAGCGTCCTGGTCTCGCAGTTCTCGTCCCATCTGCCCATCAAGGACACCGCCAAGCAGTCACACCTAGCGCATGTAAGGTCCACACTAGACCTAGCGCCAGTGAGTCTCAATTCATTATTACGACACGCGCATGAGCATGCCTCGTCTCCCCGGACTGCGTTTGTTGGAGCAGCCCCGTTTTGTTTCTCAATGTTGTACGACGTAGTAATGTGATACTGCAATCGCAAAGATAAAATTTAGGAAAGATTTGGGTTTTTTGGTATTTAAAAAACTTTTGAAGGGTACTGTAACTAAATTGAAGTTTATTACATAGTATTCTATGTTAATTTCAGTTAGTAAACCATAAGGGTTCCCACATAGCACATAACATCAATTTGACGTAAAAATTATGTAAAAGACGTCAAATTGACGTCCTGATCAAATTGTAGACGTCATATTGACGTCAAATTGTGGTCAATTTTTTTATCACATATTTCAATGAAAAAATTGTGTATCCTTTATTTTTAATGACGAAATATAATTTGTGCTAGTATGATAATCAAAACCAACTTCATAATCCAACTGGAACAAAAATTATCATCATTTTGCCGTAAAAATGACATAAAATAATTTATCAACTACACTGATCAAAAATCTGTATATAATTTAAAGTGAAAATGAAAAAAAAATCTTTTGAGACTTACTTATACAACTCGTACGAAAACCTACATTAATTGTTGTGTACATTAATTTAAGCTATAGTTCACATATTTTACAGAGTGAAAAAAGTACATAATATAGCCTAATCAAATTGTAGAGTTCCATTGAATACAAGTGTCAAATAAGTGCTTAAAGTCGTGTAGTAAAACAACGCTATTTTCTTTAAAAGTCAAGAAAGTTTCTTTTCGGATGAACAGAATGTCATATTGTTTTAAAATGGCATTTTATTATGGCAAGCTACATTAAAAACTTTATTTATGTACACTTTATTTATAAGGCAAGTTTGTAAAAGCAGTTAGTTCACTCCAACAGTAAAGGTGCCTCTATCTTTTTCTTTGGTCCTTGTCCATTAATAATTTTTGTTGTCATGCCTGTCTGCTGGTCTGCTTCATATGGTTGAATGTTTATGTTTACCAATGTTTGTTATATGTTTGCGTTATTTATTTGTGATGGCCAAAAAACCAGCCGACTTTTTCTTGAATGAATTATTTATAATCATCCAATTATTGAAAAATTAAGATGTGTTATTACATTAATAACTTCATTTGATTTTGTAGTTTCAATTGTTAACAGTTTTTTTAGTCTAACTTAGCTAGTTTTACTTAAAAACAAGTGTTCAGGCCTAGAAGCATCCAGTTCAACCGGGAAATCCAATTTCAACAGAACTCAGGCAAGTACAAATCATTTAACGTAAGCAAATAACTTAGCTTTAACATTAATCGGTAACATTAAGCCTATTTCATATCTTAGACTCCTGGCCCACGGCTATTTAACTAGGCAGAGGATACGCGTCCGGCAGTTACTGTCATAACCTAACCTAACTAGCCTAAACATACTTGCTGATAGTGAAAAAATCGAATGCAGGTTAAATTCTGTTCATAAAATTAAATTATAAATGCCTCAAATTCTAACAAAAGATGTACAGTTAAGAAGAAATGGCATTCTAAGCTAGGTAAATCTTTAACAAAAAGTTAACTTAGTGCCTCCGTTGGTATTGGATCTAGATAACTCTTGTTCATCAGCCGAGTAGGCTACTCTATCCACTACACCACTGAATACGGCTGTACGTCGTATCGTTGTGGTTATAGTGTTCCGGGCCAATACAACCCGGTGAGGTTGCTGCCGGACGATTAAATTAATCTACGTTCGGTTACAGGACGTGTATCTTCTGCGATTTAATTAATACGATTGCAGCAAAGTATTTAGCCTAGGCTATCTTAGAAGTAGGCCTACCCTACAGTTTCAAGTTAAGCTAGGCTTGTTTGGTATCGTAGGGGTAGGTCTAAGTTAAGTAAGTTAGGCTATCTTTTGGATAAGGAGTCTAAACCTAAGAAAAGGTAATGTTCTAGCCTAACCATTATGTACTAACTTAACTTATTTTGGAAACTGAAGCAGGTTACAAGTCATTCCGTCAATCAGGACTTGCCAGTTTAGTAGCCTATTTAAATCAGTAGGCTAACTCAATAACTTAACAAAATAGCCAAGGTAGTTGGATGAGCCATCTACACAGAGTGTGCTAGCCTACTGTTTTAAATTCTACTTTATAGTATAATTCTTAACCACTTACACCTAAATAGACCTATATGTGTAAACCTTTTGCATTTCAAACTGAGTTCATCTTGCCCATCATCAAAATTTGCTGGATACCGATATTTAATATCCAATGGGATAATTAGGTTACCGGTACTCAGTAGCCTACTTAATTTCATCTGCTTTTCACTTTGTAAACATAGCCTACGAACAGCTGATGAACAGTAACACTATTTATCTAATTAACCCTGAATTGCCCACTTCGCGACTTCATTTCACTAACAACAATAGATATAGTATAGGCAGGCCTAGTGTGATACATTGAGAACTGTAATTATGTTGTTCCAAGCAAAAGCCTATAAATTTAAAGTTAGGCTACATCATTCCAATCAACCGTAATTAAAACTACCTTATCTTCTTTACAGTACGGTACAGAGGCTATCATGAAGAACTCCAAATGCCCAGGGTCTACCGCCAACATTGTTGAAGACCTCAAAATAATTGGATGCGGGTGGCATGCTACTTGAGGTTTCTTAGCCTAACTTACTAAAAGTAAGTTTTCATAGATAAACTTAACTTACATGTATTAAAAATAAGTTTGATGAAGTTACTAATAGTTATAGGTAGCATATAAAAAATGAATAAGGAAATATGCCCAAGTATGAACAAATGAAATTTTTTTGAATCATGAAAATAGTGTTGTTCCTGTAACCTAAATAAATAAATTGTTAGGCCCATGATTTAACTTTTTTTACATAAAGTTAATTAAGCATCATTAAACATTAACCACCATAATAATTTAAATAATCCACCATAAACGACAACTCCAACTTTTTATTTAAGTTCATTTTTTGTGATATTGCGATTGTGTTGGTTCCGCGTTTAATTTTCAGAGGAAGCATTGCCTAATTTCCACTTCCAAATCCTGACATGTATTACTACAATAATCCTGCATGTTGAAATACTATTCCCTCTCAAGATGCAATAATAATATTAGATGAAGTAAATTTAAAATCATTTACAGGTAATTAGCAATCATGTTGTGATTTAATTTATATTTAAGATATTTTGTTTTGTTGTGGCAATAGGGATTGTTTACTGTTCTATGATTTGGTTGGGGTATATAATTAGCTCTTCAAAAGAGGGATTCAGAGTTGTGATTTAAGAGACGAATTTGACCTAACAGTAATCTTCCACCAACTTTCAGTTTCTATACCCTCTGTATGAAAGGGCTTGTGGCCCTTCTTATAGGTTATAGTCACATCAAGTAGGCTGTTGGCTAGTACTTTAATCCATCACAACAAGATTGTTTAAGCTTCAATCTAACTGTAGCCTAATCGGAGCATGACCAAGATACAAGATTAAACTAGTTTGTACTTTAACGACGAGATAACATTGTCACTGTTAAACGCTACTTACGCATCTTAGGCTACGCCAATTATCGATTATTTATTTAGAAGGTCAACTTGGCTATTAACTTACGTTGATAAAATGTTAAATAGGCAACGTTAAATAGGCCGATTTTGATCAAATACATTTAGCCAACTTGGCTTACTACTTTACTTTAGTACTAGCGGTGTCTATAGTTTAGATTTGTATTAATTAATTAATTCAAGATTACGACCGTTCAGTTTAATTAGTAAATCTTTAATATGTAGTTTTAATATCCAGAGACTTGATATCATATTGCTAACCCCCCCCCTCCCATTGGGGATGATATAATTAGGTCTTGGGAGTACCCCGATTGGATCTACACTATGAAGAATAAGTTAGTAGGCCTAACCATTAATGTATTTACCATATCATGATCAATTCTGTGTTCATCCTAAGCAGGCCCCCAAAGATTCTATATTTTTATATTACAGTATATTTTTTCCAGTTAATCATCGTACGTATGCCGTATGCCTACATTCATTTATTACCCACTTTCGTCAGATAATTATAAAGTGTAAGACGGGTTCGTTTTATTGAATCGGCCAGGGTAGAATACTAGTCAGACCTAGACTACAGAGTCATTCTTAAAGCTAGACCAATTTTAGGGTGAATATGAGATAGCTCTCACCTAAGCGTCTTCTAGATTTCATTAGCACTTCTAGAGCTCTATAAAATCCCCTAGGGTCCCTTCGATAAAATTAAAATAACTAATCAGTTAAAAAGAGTGAAACAGCTTTTTATCGACACCTGAATTTTATCGGCTCCTTCTGAGCATTCCGAGGAGGGAATTTAAGTGTGGCTGGTTCTATGGGTAGGCCTAGTCTTTTTCGTGAATATAATTTTATTTGTTTTTTCTGCGTTCGTTTAAAATGGATTCTTAATTTTATGCTTGATTTTAATTTATAATCCTTGTTGGTCAAACTTCTTGAACCGTCCTAATTTTCCACTCTAATGGGTTAACAGGTAAAATTTTTGAATACGCTAAGTTCACAAACGATCAAGCAATACACATTTTGAAGTTCAGTTGTCATCCTCAAAAAAAAAAAAGGCACACAAAGATCAAAATCGTAAATCGCTGTCTATTAAAATTATTTAGAAATAACTACAAATAATACCTCATATTTTTAAACATAACTGAGGGTAAATATTTCTGAATATTTTTTCATCTCAATAAATAAAATCAACAAATATATGCCTATAGGCTATTAATAAAAATGCCCATGTATGAGCGTTTCTCAGTAGGCTATAAAAAAATCACATGCATCGCAAATTAGCTAGCATGAAACTTGTTTGCAAAGCCCGGCCACATCTTGTCCAAAAACTTAAAAGAGTTGGTAAATTTTACTATTTTGTCACACCACCCTCTTTTTCGTGTCTGTCCTCCTGGGTCTTTAAGACGGATAGGTGTATTTGTATATTTGGTTAGCCCCTCAAAC